TTTCAGAGACAAGTGCCTGTGTTGTATATATATACAATAACAATCTGCAATGATCACTAAAAAAGAACGTCGTGTTAGCTCGAAGTGGATCATGAGTGAATAAACCCTCCGGCATCGAAGATTTTTTGTGAAACAACATATATTACCGGAAAAAAATATCCCAATATTAAACCGATTGATATATCATTGAATATTCACTTAGTCTGAATGGTCTATCAATTCATACACAGCTAAAATTGATTCAAAAAATATAAAAAAAAATAGAGAAAACTAGTCCAAAAAAAAAAAAAGAATAGAGAATAATTGGCAAAATTTAAATCACATTCCTTGATGTCACAATCGAGGGAAAGAGGACGGGATTGTGATAACGACAATTGGAACATATCCGTGGTCATCTGTGACACATATATTCAATAAAGGCAAAATAACCAAACACGCTTAAAACGTTCGAAGGGATGACTTCAACTTTCCCACTTGGAATCATTGGTCACCAGCTTCCTTGAAAGCAGCAACTCTCTTTCAAGAAAATCATAAAAGAAACATACTAAGATCTAGAATATATGAGTGAATGAACTTCATATGCAGGCGCTGCTGAAAAGTTGGCACATATGAATTGAAAATTCATACGCAACTTACCTCGAGTCTCATATACGACCCTTAGACCCCCTTTAATTACTGGCAAATTGACAGTAATAACTAATAAAGGATTCAGACACAGTTGTCTTAGCTTTATGAAAATTCCTTAAAGACAGTTTTCAAAATTATGATGTAGTTTAACACTTTTTACATCTATATTCTTACCTGGATTACAACTGGTTGCTGTTTTTCCGCAATAAGCGCACAATAAAACTAAGACGAGAATCGTCGAAATCATTTTACTAGTCATGAATTGCTGTTGCTAGTTTTGGCTCCATTATTTTGTGTTGCTTTTATTTGTATAGTTTCTGATATATTATTTGCCAACAATATTGTAATTTGATATATTAATTACATTTTGTCACGCATTTGTCATGTAATGATTACTTTTTCCGCTAATTGCAGTTTTAAAATTACACAATGTACTTTTTATTGACATTGCATTATACTGTGATAACGATATTCAAGAAATGTTTTTGATCGCGAAAACTGATTATAAAACACATACTGATATTATTTAAATATTCATATAGCATATATTTACCAGATATGCAGCCCAGTCTCAACTGGGACTATTATACTAATTTAGTATAATAGTCACAGGTCTCAATGTAGCTGTTCCGGACCATATGAGTATATTTTTGGACTATACGCAAATAGTACGAAGAATTTCGGACTGATTGATGAATCATTTTAAAAATAACTGCATGTTGACATTCAGAATGGATGTCTCGATTCCCCCTCCCTCCGGATTTTAGCATTTACTAACTGTCAGTGACAAACATTAAACAAATTGATTGTGAAAGACTGAGAATTAACTACTACGGGTCATGAGGGTCTCGCACGGTCGGTGAAATCAAGGCAGTAAAAATATCTAATAACAAAGAATAAAAAATGAAATCAATACTTTATAAATTGCATGTGTTCGAAGCGCTTTTTGCATCGCACGCTAAGGTGATATTGGCCACAATGAAATATAAAATTGGGAACATGTACCAGAGAAGGGGGGGGGGGGGGGGGGGGGGAATATCAAATACGGTAAAAAAGGAATAAAATTGCAGTATGGTTAATCAAGACCCGATCAACAATGATTGATACATGTTGACGTAATTTATGATAGTGCGAAGCACTCACTACCTTTTTAGAAAGGTTAAACTTGTCTAGATTTATCTTCATCAGGAGTGCTCAAAGCTGAATATTTAAAAGCCAAGGATGTATAAAAACCGAAACAGTTGAAGAGCTATATGACCAAAAAGGACCTAAAATAATAGCCAAATCCATCTAAGATAATATGCTGATTGTAGCATAATACCGTAACGACTCTGAAACTCAACAGTGAAACATTAAACCAGCGTTCATCAAAAGCAATTGTGGATAAAGTATTGTAATGTTCCTCGTCAAAGGCCTCTTTGATATGAAGAATAGAAATGAAAGTACCATCTTTGAGCAATCTTATAACATCTTTAAGTGTAATTTGGCTCCCCTTTCATTCCTTTAAGCTCTAAGTGTTTTTCATAATCAATATAAAAAATGGAGACGTGGTAAGATTGCCAATGAGACGAACTATCTACCGGAAACCAAATAACGTAGATGTTAGCAACTATAGGTTACCGTACGCGTGAGGCTTTCAACAATGAACAAAAAACCATACCGCATAGCAAGCTATAAAAGACCCCGATATAACAGGCTCCTGAGTTACGACATATGCCCATTTAATGATTATGAAAGCTATTATCAAATACATGTGTTCGGCACATTACCCAGATCAAAGCTACTTGAAATACAGATAAAGGTATATAGACATAGGAGAATGTTGATGTCCATGCTCGTACCATTGTATATAGACATAGGAGAATGTTGATGTCCATGCTCGTACCATTGTATATAGACATAGGAGAATGTTGATGTCCATGCTCGTACCATTGTATATAGACATAGGAGAATGTTGATGTCCATGCTCGTACCATTGTATATAGACATAGGAGAATGTTGATGTCCATGCTCGTACCATTGTGTATAGACATAGGAGGATGTTGATGTCCATGCTCGTACCATTGTATATAGACATAGGAGAATGTTGATGTCCATGCTCGTACCATTTCAAGTTAGATATAGGTATATAGACATAGGAGAATATTGATGTCCATGCTCGTACCATTGTATATAGACATAGGAGAATGTTGATGTCCATGCTCGCACCATTGTATATAGACATAGGAGAATGTTGATGTCCATGCTCGTACCATTGTATATAGACATAGGAGAATGTTGATGTCCATGCTCGTACCATTGTATATAGACATAGGAGAATGTTGATGTCCATGCTCGTACCATTGTATATAGTCATAGGAGAATGTTGATGTCCATGCTCGTACCATTGTATATAGACATAGGAGAATGTTGATGTCCATGCTCGTACCATTGTATATAGACATAGGAGAATGTTGATGTCCATGCTCGTACCATTGTATATAGACATAGGAGAATGTTGATGTCCATGCTCGTACCATTTCAAGTTAGATATAGGTATATAGACATAGGAGAATGTTGATGTCCATGCTCGTACCATTGTATATAGACATAGGAGAATGTTGATGTCCATGCTCGTACCATTGTATATAGTCATAGGAGAATGTTGATGTCCATGCTCGTACCATTGTATATAGACATAGGAGAATGTTGATGTCCATGCTCGTACCATTGTATATAGACATAGGAGAATGTTGATGTCCATGCTCGTACCATTGTATATAGACATAGGAGAATGTTGATGTCCATGCTCGTACCATTGTATATAGACATAGGAGAATGTTGATGTCCATGCTCGTACCATTGTATATAGACATAGGAGAATGTTGATGTCCATGCTCGTACCATTGTATATAGACATAGGAGAATGTTGATGTCCATGCTCGTACCATTGTATATAGACATAGGAGAATGTTGATGTCCATGCTCGTACCATTCCAAGTTAGATGGTATTGGCTTGGTGTGTATGTAATTTTATAGATGGACGGTTGGACTGAAAACTTATTTTTATCGGTTTTAACGAGATAGCACTGTCTTGGTCATGTGCCACGAAAGTCCATCATTAAGGGTACCTGTGACTAATTTCACAAAAAAACTTACGAGAAAACAAACTAGATACTCCAATGATGATTGTGCTTAAGTTTGGTTAAAGTAAGTCATGAACATTTCAGTAGAAAATGTGTAACATTTGTGAAAAGAGCCCCAGTACTCTAAATAAAAGTATTGCGTCTAAGATTTAGAATAGCGGTGTCCCAGGTCTAGGGTATAGTGTCCCAGAATAAGGTATGACGTCTCAGATTTAGAATAGCGGTGTCCCAGATCTAGGGTATAGTGTCCCGAAATAAGGTATGACGTCTCAGATTAATGTTAACGTCTCAGATCTAGGGAATAGTGTCCCGGAATAAGGTATGACGTCTCCGATTTAGGTAAACGTCTCTGCGACTCTTTTCACAAAAAAAATCTTACGATTAAAATTTATCGTAAGTTATACTGAAATGTGTATGACTTACGAGTATTTTTACTCTTAAGATTTTTTTGTGAATAGAGTCGCTGCAGATCTATAGGATTTAGCATCTCAGATTTAGGCTATAAAATCGTCAATTATCATGTCGCATGTCTCAGCTCACAGTGCTCCATGTACTGTGACATACATGTAATACAGCATATCATAATAATATGTTTGACTATTGGTTTTATCTTATTGTATGTAGCTATGGGTAAGTTGTGGCGAAATAATATTGGAAATTGTTTCTTTTCAAAAGATAGGATTCTAAATGGGGTTTGTTGCATTTTTGGGCCTCAAATCGTTGCAAATCAATCATAAATTATTTTTTACTGTAACCAGGTTGGTTGTCAGCAATATTCTAAGGGAAATGACTCCAAGTACGATGGGTGTACGCCCCGACCCTGTGGTCATTTTTTTAATGGAAAGGGTTCTTACTATACGAATCTTCAAATGATAGAAATAGGTATATGAATAATTATTGTTCCAAGTTATAATAGTTTTTCAGTAGTACTCTGTGGAATATATATATATATATATATATATATATATATATATATAAACTAATTGCGCCTTTTTTTTTATATGCTGTGCGGCAAGTCCCAATATTTATTTGATTTTTACCCCCAAATTGTCTCGTAATATAATGTGTAACCGATTTTGTTCGTAGAATTTTAAATAAATTATGTAGTAGACATTTTTTATTTTTTGCTATTTAAATGACAAAATTATATTGAGGTTTAAAAATCCTGGATCCGCAACTGATTTTAATCCAACAGAGTGCTGACGTGTAGAAAATACATTTATAGAGATATTAAGTTTAAGGCAGAGATGTACATAAATGTACGTGTTAATCAATGTTTCATTGTGGCTATCAGATGTATTATATTGATTTCATAGACAACAACATTGAACATATGAGCAAAAACAATCAAGGAAATTGCTCTCTTGTCTGGTAAGTCTCATCTTATATCTTAGAATATTCAAAAATATATAAGGGCTATCGTATAACACATTATTCAAACGATTTTGATTTGAAATAACATGTCCATAAATAGTATTCATCAGTTATTACAGGTCACATCAAGGTTATGTTTTGAACCTGCGTAGTATTTTTCTGAAGCCGAGTGTATGATTATTATTTTGCATGATAATGTTCTTTGCTGTGGTAAGCCGTTTTTATATTTATTCCATTCTTAAGATAATAAAGATAAAAAAAGATATATAAAAAACTACTTTTATGAATTAGATAAGCTCTCTTTTATATTTCATAAGATAGCTTATGTTTTTAATTTTAAAGATATATTATAAACTTAATAAGATATTTTATATAAACTAAATAAGATATCTTATAAACTTATTGAGATATCTTATAAATTAGATAAGATATCATATAAAGTATATTAGATATCTTGTATTCTTTATGAGATGTGGCTTATTAAATTTGAAGTTAAAAACATATCTTATATACTTTATAAGATATCTTATTAACTTTATTAGATATTTTAAAATTGAATAACTTTAAAAATGGCTTGCAATTCTATGCTTTTAATGTCTGTTATGTTTTATCTATGTCTATAACCTATGTCTGTTAATCGTTCTGAACATGCATGAAATATTTGCCACTGGACATTAAGTAGCCAACAATTAATTTATCTGTCAATATCGGTTCAAAGCTAAGAAGATAAGCTTGTGTTGTCTATGTAAGTATGATATAGACAAGTCCGACTTTAAATAAAGCTTTTGCACTTTTAATTTAGCTTCTTATCAATGTTATTGTTCATCTTCAAACGTAGACCCGAAAAAAAAGCTATGACAACTAGTTACATATATTGTACTGATGATACATGATGGTGTGGATGGGAGTTTACAGAATAAGGAATAATGGGCAAAAAATATAAAAGAGAGAAAAATGGACCCTAAAAATAAAGAATGAGTTACTAAAATATAAAGAATAGAGAATAATGGGCAAAAAGTATAAAGAATAGAGAAAAATGGCATAAAAAATTAAAGAATACAGAAATGAAGGACCCCCATCCAGACCCTGATACATGTATAATGCGTGACGGATGGAAGTCAATGCGACACCCTACCCTGACACATTATTCTGACCCCGAGCTGCAGTCTTTGTTTTTACTCCTGCACGCCGCGTGCTTAACGAAGAATCAGATTTTTTTGTAATTTTAAAGTCTTTGGTTTGACTCGACCGAGGATCGATCTCCCACACTCAAGGCGAGCACACGAGGCGAGCACGAGGAGGTTTGTACTGTTGGACCTATCGTGATATCTTTAAGTGAAGCACCCAAGGTAGCAGGGGCATGACACACATCAATAGGAATGGTGATAATCGGTATTTTAATCAGAGTCTAGTTTAGGTCTTTACTGTCCCCTTTACCTTTACAAACAAATATCATTTTCTGATACTGAAATGCCGGCGTAGCATTAGACGGATTTGAAGGCATGGCGTTTTTTTCTGTGTTATTTAATCTTAATATATGATATCAGAAACCTTTAACCGTTCCGTTTGACTTTGTATAAAGAAAAATTGGATATCACTGGTCATTTTGAACTAGATGTACTATTCTAACGTTCTATTAACTGCCTGTACTTGACCCATATTTCCAACATATATGTCAAAATCCTTAAACACGTGGTATCATCTAAAATTAACTTCAAGTTTCAAGGACAATAAACTGATAAACAATTTATCTCATCGACAAGAACAATAAATATTACATACAGTTTCATACTTTGTAGAGTTCATGATGGCTGCTTCTTTTCGGTATGTGCGACAATATATTGGACCAGTGAAGGCTGTGATTTTGGACTGGAGCGGTACAACGGCTGACAAGTATGTTCTCGCTCCAGCTGTTGTTTTTGTTGATGTTTTTAAGAAACATGGAGTACCTATCACAATGTTAGAGGCACGCGAACCGATGGGACTTAGGAAGGATCTACACATCAAGGCTTTGACGGAAATGCCAGATATTCGACAACGCTGGAAAGAAATGAAGGGACAGGAACCTACACAAAACGACGTAGATAAAATGTTTGCAGATTTTGTGCCAATGCAATTAGCATGCCTTCGTACGTATACAGACTTAATTCCAGGTACCAAGACTGCTGTACAACAATTGAGAGACAATTTTAAAGTAAAAATTGGACACACTACTGGTTTCTTAAGCTCTATGGTGGACGTCTTGTTAGAGGATGCCAAAAAACAAGGATATGTTCCAGATGCATCGGTCGCCGGAGATGACGTTATCAACGGGGCACGTCCTAAGCCTTTCATGGTTTATAGAAATATGGATTTACTTGACGTGAGTACGATCCAGTCAGTTGTAAAAGTTGACGATACGGTTTCTGGAGTTGGGGAAGCCCTTGAGGCTGGGTGTTGGGGTGTTGGCGTTTCTAAATATAGTAACTATATGGATATTAACAGTTTAGAAGATGCCGATAAAATGACACCAGAGGATGAATTTAGAAAAATTGAAAAGTCTCGTGAGATACTACGGAAGTCTGGTGCGCATTATGTGATTGACAGCATTGCAGATTTACCTGAAGTTGTGGAAGAAATTAACCAGAGACTTAAGCATGGAGAAAAACCTTAATTTAAGTATAGAATATGTGAAAATTATAGATGACATTTCAAAACTTGACCACAATTTTCCCATGGTTTAATTACTATTTATTTTGATACTGTCAAAAATCACTATCTTAAAAAAAAATGTTACCGTCACAGTTTGTTTTCTTTTTTATACACTTTAAACTTTATGGATGTCTCCTCGTATTCCTCTTGATACAATCAGTTTAAAGTTGTCTAGAGTTGGCTTGGAAAGATTAAGAGCTCGACATGTGATGTAGACACTTGCCTATTGATTAAGTTCATATATTGATATTTAGATCTATCCTGTCCTCTTTTCCTCGAATGTTACCTACCGAATTAGACTTATCACCGGGTTTTTACTTACACGAACAACACGACGGGTGCCACATGTGGAACATTATCTGTTTACCCTTCCGGAGAACATGACATCACCCCCGGTTTTTGGTTGGGTTTGTGTTGCTCTTTCATTGGCTATTCTATGTTGTGTTTTGTATACTGTTAATTATCGTTTGATCGTTTTTTCGTTTTTTTTTTTTTTGTTGCCATTGCATTGTCAGTTTTCTTCCGACTTATGAGTTTGATTATCCCGTTTGTATCTTTCGCCTCTCGTCTATGCCTGTTCTGTTTCATTTTTGCTCCGGATGATGAATTTAAACAATGATACAATAAGGTAGCACTAACTTCACTATAATAGATTCCTGGTGCTCCGGAGGATAGAATAATGGATTATTGTTTTCTTTTGCATATCTTTCTTGTTGATGTACCTTTTAAGGAAAGGATGAATTTAAGGTATTTCTTTGTCATAGTATGCTGAATGGTTCAAACATGACCGTCATTGTTACAAATGATAGATAATTTGACAAAATAATGTTAATGAAAACTATTCTGAAAATCATGCAGAGGGAGGGCTTATTGTGAATAAATTGGAGGAAACGCTTGAAATATTTATTACCTTGGAAGAATTATGGTTGACATGGCATTTATTTATTAATTAATTAATTATTTATTTGTTGTTATTGGCTTTGAACTAGCTTTCAGAAGCTGCGAGTACTCTTAGCTATACGCAACTATTATGCTTTGTGTCTTTTGAGTTAAGCCAATAGCCAATGATTTTTATAGTTTTTTCTTATGTTGTGCTGTTACACCACTGTCCAAGCTTAAGGTTAGGGGGAGGGTTGAGCGCTCACAAACATGTTTAACCCCGCCACAGTCTATTATGTACCTGTCCTAAGTCATGCCCCCGCCATATTCTTTCATGTGCCTGTCCCAAGTCATGCCCCGCCATATTCTTTCATGTGCCTGTCCCAAGTCATGCCCCGCCATATTCTTTCATGTGCCTGTCCCTATTCAGGAGCTTGTTGGTCAGTGGTTGTCTTTGGTTCATGTCTGTTATTTTTTTCCCGTAAATTATATTGTTATAGATTATTTAGGCTGTTAGTTTTCTCGTTTGAATTGTTTCACATTTTTCATGTCGGGGCCTTTTATAGCCGACTATACGGTATGGGTGTTTCATTGTTGAAGGCTGTACGGCTGCCTATAATTGCTTACATCCAGTTCATTTGAACTTTGGTGGATAGTTGTCTCACTGGCAATCATACCGCATCTCCTTTTTTTTTTATAAGTTTGTGCATTATAAAACTCGTTCACATGATAGATGGCCTTCTTCGCGAATTCGAAAAAGAATTTTTGCAAAGTATAAAGCAATCATAATTTCTCAATGTATTCTAAATATTTTTTTTAAAGTTTATGACGACGGACGACGGACGGACGCCAAGTGATGGAAAAAGATCACATGCAATTTAAGGCCAGGTAGGTTAATGTTGGATATAGACTTTTCTAACATTCAAAGTTTATTAAAATTATACAGCATTTAGGCTTTGACCTTGCGAGTAAAACAGAAATAGAGCAAATTTTGGTAGATTGTTGTCTCATTAGCAACCAAACCAGGTCAGTTTTGACCAAATATTGACTGTCCTATGATTAGGTTTTTGATAACAATGTTGATCTTATAATGATAAATAATCTTTGACCATTTAGGTTCAAGTCATGTCAATTAACCAGTTCATCCATCTAGACTTTTAAACCAGCTCTAAAGAGCCTATGTCGCTCACCTGCACCTTCCACAATGGCAACTTTTTTTTAAAAATCATCATAAAAGGTGAATAATTCTATTAAGAGTTAACTGACAATTTCAGTCATGTTGACATATTTGTAGATCTTATCCTGCTGTTAATTTTTCCTTTTTAAGGTTTCTATTTATCTATTATAGTTTTCAAGATAATTGGCAAAAAATGCTTACAAATTATCATTTTAGAGCAATAACTTAGATAACGAGTCGACTGAAGATTTCTGCCATTGTAGCACATTTGTAGATCTTGTCTTGCTGATCATTTGTGCTATTTAAAGTTTATATGGTGGGGTTTGGTTTCTCAGTCTTTGGGTTTCTATGTTGTGTTTTGTATACTATTGTTTGTCTTTTTCTTTTTTAGCCATTTCGTTGTCAGTTTATTTTCGACTTATGAGTTTGAATGTCCCTGGCTTTGGTATCTTTCGCCTCTCTTTTATATCTATCTATTACAGTTTTCAAGATAATAGGCAAAAATGGGGAATATCGTCAATAAAGGGCAATAACTTCAATAAGGAGTCGACTATCGATTTCGATTATGTTTGACTTATTTGAGGATCTTGTCTGGCTGATCATTTTTGCTTTTTAAAGTTTCTATTTATCTGTCATAGTATTTAAGATATTAGGCACATACGAAAAAAATTGGTAAAAATGTCATGAAAGGGCAATAACTCTAATAAGGAGTCGTCTGATGATTTTTGTCATGTTGACTTATTTGTAGATCTTGTCTTGCTATCATTTTTTGCTTTTTTTAAAGTTTCTATCTGTCTATTACAATTTTCTAGGTAAAAGGCATTTTTTTTCAAATGGTAAAATTTGTCATTTAAGGGCAATGACTCCTTTAAGAAGTCGTCTGACAGTTTTGACTTAAAACGACAATAGGTAGTGAAAGCTTAACATTCTGATTTTTTTTTCCATGTCAGATTTTCTTTATTTATAGCGGTATTTGAAATAATAGGCAAAACTTGCATTTTACCTCTATGTTCTATTTTTAGCCACGTCGGCCATCTTGGTTGACAGCCGGGATCATTGGACACATTTTTTAACTAGATACCCTAATGATGATTGTGACCAAGTTTGGTTGAATTTGCCCAAATAGTTTCAGAGGAGAGGAATTTTGTAAAAGTTAACGACGACGACTACGACGGACGACGGACGCCAAGTGACGAGAAAAGCTCACTTGGCCTTTCGGCCAGGTGAGCTAAAAAAAATCGTCTTTTAAACTAATTGGCCAAATATAACCAAACTCTACTTGAATGCTCCTAATGGTATCTTGTTTAAAAATTGTATCCAAGCATTCGATCCATCAACAAACATGGCCGCTGTTGCTAAAAATAGAGCATAGGGGGTAATATGTAGTTTTTGGTTTATATCTCAAAAATTAAAACAGTTGGATTATGGATCAGCGGGTAATGGTCTGTTTCCTTCAAAAATTGGACAATCAATTTGGAAGTTATTATACCTGATATATCAATTAAAAAAAAAACAATTCACAGTTTTTGGCTTATATCTCGAAGAGAAAAACTGACAAGGTGAAATGATCAGCAGGTCAAGGTCTATCTCCTAAGTAACTTTCATAGGATAATCCATTTTGGAGTTATTGCCCTTGAAATGTCATTGTTCTGCAAATTTCGACGTTTTTGGTTATTAACTTAAATACTTAAATAACTAGAAAAGAAATTTTAAACAGTAAAACTACTAAAACAGTAAGATCTAAATTTGATGTGGACGAAATTATCAATTGGCGAAATATAGGAGTGATTGGACTTGAAAGACAATTGTTTTTCAGCACAATATGATCTACAAATAAGTCAACATTGCCGAAATTGTCAACCGCCTCCTTATAGGAGTTATTTCTCCTGAATGATGTGTTTACCCACTTTTGCATTTTACTACAATATCCAGAACTAGATTGTTTGAATGACTGGTGTTTTACGCCACATTCAGCTCTATTGTGCTGTTTCGTGGCGGTCAGTTTTCATTGGTGGAGGAAGCTGGAATGCCCGGAGAGATCCAACAACCTTCGGTAGGAAAAGTGACAATCTTAGTTCAGGGCTAGACTTTACAAGTATGAAATACTAGTGTCTAATCCACTTGTTTGTTTTCAAAAAATGAGAGGCGAAGGATATCAAAGGGACATTCAAACTCATAAGTCGAGAATAAACTGACAACGCCATGGCTAAAAAAGAAAAGACAAACAGACAAACAACAGTACACTAAACACAACATAGAAAACCAAAGACTGAGTAACACGAACCCCACCAAAAACTGGGGGTGATCTCAGGTGATCCGGAAGGGTAAGCAGATCCTGCTCCACATATGGCATCCGTCGTGTTGCTCATGTTAGAACAAACCCGGTGATAAGTTTAATTCGGTAGGGTGACATTCGAGGAAAAGGTGACGGGGTTGTAGTTACGACAATTGGAACATATCCGTTGTCATCTGTGAAACTGATATTCCATAACGGTCAACCAACTCGTGATGGCGTCCGTAAAATTTACGAATGGGACGATTTCAACTTCACCACTTGGAATTCTTGGTTTAATAGCTTTCTTGTGAGAGAACATCATCTATATAGCGGAAAGTGAAGTTACAGGATATTGCTAACTTCTTTTCTTTCTTCCTAAGAAGTTCCTGTATGAAGTCAGCCTCATATGAATAAAGTCGGCAAGAAGAGGAGCACAGTTGGTTCCCATGGGAATATCGATTGTTTGTTGAAAAACACGTCCTCCAAAAGTAAACAAATATGTTGTCAATCAAGAATTCAATCCTCTTATTAATGTCAGTTTCAGAGAATTTTTTGTTTGAATCAGAGATATTTTTTACAAAGTACGCCGATTTATACCTCCCTAAGACAAGAAACTTGTATCTACGTAGGCCATTCTTTTTTATGAAACAAAGCAGGACCAACTCAATTTGTCTTTGAGTTTGGAATGGGGAATACTTGTGTAAAGTGTAGAAAAGTCAAATGTTTTAATATTATTGCAAGATGAAAGAGTCTTGGATTGTATGTACTCTAAAAGATGTTTGAAATTTTTTAGTATTCACATCTGATTCACGCCTCCTCTATAATAGGTAGCTTCACAATAACTTTGAAGCCCGGCTTTGATTGCTGATAAAATAAATAAACAGACTTGTATTGAAAAGTAGAAGAGGTTTCTGCAATTTTCTCCAGACTATCATCGCACTGAACAATGAACTTTAAGTACCTTACTTTCTAGGAAAACAAAGTTACTTAACGGAATTAATCAAATAAAACAAAGTTACCTCACGGAAATGGAGAAACAAGTTCAATGAGAGGTAGAGAAATCCAATTACCAGACTCAGGATCGAAGTTGAAAGTTATTTTCACGTTTGAGTGAGTGTGTTAAAAGTCTGTAAAATGTATTATATTGTATTATAATTCTCATATTATAGGAGGGCCAAGTTTGCAGTTGTCATATTAGTGGTCCATGTTATTTTCAGTTGGGTTAAAAGTGGGTATAATTTATATTCTATATCATATTTTTGTCGTGGGTGTTTTGCAGTTCTTAATTCAGCAAGGATAAACTCATGTTCGTCAGTGGGGTGAGTTGTTACGAGTCATTGCAAACTTAGGAAGAGTTGGGGGAAACAGGGGCAAGTGAAAGAGGGACGTTGGGTTGCGTAGGTGGGAGGTGAGTTGTCCTGCTTCTGTTAAGACATTGTTAATCAATTATTCACATATTACTAAAACAATTTAGTAACTGGTATTAGTAGTATCCTTCTGAAGGATAAATACCTGGCACACAGCTACATAGAGGGGAGGGAAGGATCACAAGAATCAAAGTCAAGAAAACATCAGCCAGAAGTTATGTGAATCCTGCTTTGTACTATACTATTACCCTCCTCTCACTGAGTTCACTCTAATTATTGGTTGGGCTTAAAAAGTAAAATAACAATAAACTGTTAACACAGAGATATGTCTCACCTTTTTGTTATTTTGATAGTAAAATGCAAATGTTGAAGTTAGAATAGCAATACCTTAACATGTAAGTTATGCCAAATATTTAAAGTCAATGAACCATGTCTGTTGAAGGTACAGGGCAAAACAATTCCAAGGAAATCAGATGTGCCAATGCTAATACATATATGCATACAAAATATCATTAACTTACCACTAGTAATTCCTCATAAACAGACCTAATCACAAACTAATACAATGTACATGTAAACTAAGCAAAAGTTTCAAAGTCAACAGGCCATGACTGAGCGGTGGAGCCAAATTATCCCGCCATGAAAACGAGGTGTGCCAATGCTTGTATAACTGCATACCAAATATCATTGATCTACCACTAGTGGTTCATCATAAACTGACCTAATCACCAACTAATACATGTAAAAAATTGAAAACAACACGTTTAATAATTTCATGCGTCCGAAGCGCTTTTCTGGATTTACCTTCATCAGGAACGCTCAAAGCCAAACATTTGAAATCCGAGGGATGTATAAGTACCGAAACAGTTGAGGAGCTATATGACAAAAATACCTAAAACAAATAGCCAAATCCATCTAAGGTCAACTTTGCCTGAGGGAGTTGAAACCTTAGTTTCTTTATAATTTCAAAATTTATAAACGGGCACTTTTAGAAAAGTTTGTTATAAATCATGTCAGTACCGAAGTACTGACTACTGAGCTGATGATACCCTCGGGGACTGATAGTCCACCAGCAGAGGTATCGACCCAGTGATGTAAAAAATTGAAAACAACCTGCATACCAAATATCATTGACCTACCACTAGTGGTTCCCCACAAACTGACCTAATCACAAACTAATACATTGTTGATGCCGCCAATGCCAGAAACAGCATACCTATGTCTCGAGTTTTGACTCTGTCAAGGCGAGACAAAAATACAGAACTTAGTTATCTATTGATTGTTTTCTGGGCTTGTTTTTATCTTAGTTTTTTCTTTTGGCTTAGTTTTGTGTGTTCTTTTTTAAATTATGGTTTTTATTGCCCCCTTAGTAACTTCTGACCATTTTTGGAATTTTATCAAAGGTGTGTCATCCAAAAAGTATAACAAAAATACCATACTTCAAGGCCAATTCAAAAAGTGGGGGTCCATAAAAACTGACAAAATTAAATGCTATCAATCAATGGAACAAGAGAAAAAAACAACTGCCATATATTGCTAACTTTGTACCTTCCCAATGACACACATACCAAGTCAGAATAGTACTACTCACTACTTTGTATAACAATACCTTACAATTCAATAAACTACAAGAATTTAATATTCTTAGAAAAAAATAAAATCATCTTGGAGGTGTTGTGGTGATTTTAAGTTGAACAAACAGGTCAATCATGTGTACCCCCATACACTCTGTAGTGGTGCACATACAAAACCTAATGTAGGACAAAGTTGTACAACAAAAAGTCACAATTCATTATCAAGATAATTTGTCTCGGATAAGAAAAATAAAGTTTTAATATTTTTTCTACTGTAAATGAACTACAACTTTTAAACAGAAGAAATATATCCTTTGTACAATTAAAAGGAGTAATTCATGTGAAAATTGGCCCTAAGAATTTGACGTTTTTTTAATCAGGCCAAAATACTACAAATTTCACATAGAAATAGTTGTGACATAACTATTAATACAAAATAACTTCTTGTTTTCACATTGCATTAAAAATGACGAAGAAATGACACCTCAAGTATGCATTTGTATTGTAACATCAGTTTTGGTCAAATTTTCGATAAATTTAAACAGTTTTTAACATAATATACTTGGCCACCACCTGCGATCCAGAAAATCTTTGTGTCAAGGGATTTAATATCATCATTTGCAATTTTTTTTTATTTCAACGAAAGAAATCTCTGTATTACTGAAAAATTATTACACCAGGGTTTTCGATATCACAAACTAGTCGAAACATTTACTAAATTTTATCATCGGTACAACTTACTGGGACATCATTCGTAAATATAAATCAACATGCAGACATCTTATACGTTCATGTATTTCACATCCAATATTTTATGGTAATATTCTTTACAAAGCACAAAAGTGTCGGCATTCACCTCAAAGGCCGCTAACCAAACCTTTAAACAGACTTATTCGGAAAGGATATAGTTACGATACTGTTGTCAAGTCATTAAGGATTGCATATTTTGGTATTAATATTGATTCACTCATATGGTCTTTGCATCGGAAATAAACACATTTATTCTAAAACCAGTTGTTGGCATGATACGGGTTATGTTCTTCTCATATATTTTATGATGGTATAATACTAAACCTCGAACGGGAGGGATTGTACTTGATTTTCATATGATGAAGACATAATCTTTCGATCCGTTTAATTGAGGTTTGGAGCTGGCATGTCAGTAACTGCTAGTAGTCCTTTGTTCATTTATGTATCATTGTCATTTTGCTTAGTTTCTTTTGTTACCTATTCTGACATCGGACTCGGACTTCTTTTAAACTGAGTTTTTTACTGTGCGTATTTCTGTGTGTTTCTTTTTTCTACATTGACTAGAGGTATAGGGGGAGGGTTGAGATCTCACAAAACATGTTTAACCCCGCCGCATTTTTGCGCCTGTCCCAAGTCAGGAGCCTCTGGCCTTTGTTAGTCTTGTGTGTTTTTTAACTTTAGTTCATGTATATGTTTTGGAGTTTAGTGTGACGTCCATTTTCACTGAACTAGCACACAATTTTATTTAGGGGCAAGCTGAGGACCACCTCCGGGTGTGGGATTTTCTCTCTGCATTGAAGACCCATGATTGGTTGCCTTCGGCTATTGTCTGGTCTTTGGTCGGGTTGTTGTCTCTTTGACATATTCCCCATTTCCATACTCAATTTTATTTGTCTTCAGAACATTTTGGATCCTAGGTTGCAGGCAAATGTTTCCTCAAACTTTTAGGCCCAACAAATGCAGAAAATCTTCATATTGAAAAAAAAAATCAAAAATTTGCTGACTTGAAGCATAGAATGAACTTTTATGAAGACATTTGTATAACCTAGTAGTAAGGCTTTTGAAATCGACCCATTTAAGAACCAAATATGGCCATTATAATATTCTATGATAAAGTTGTCATGGCAGGTGTCATCTGACCTTGACCTCGCTTTCATGGTTCAGAGGTTAAAGTTAAGTTTTTGTGTTTTTGGTCTGTTTTTCTAATACTGTATGCAATAGGTCAACTATATTTGGTGTATGGAAATATTTTACGATGTACATGTCAGTCTGTCAGGTTTTATTTGATCTTGACCTCATTTGACCATTCATTTCTCAATGTCAAAGATTTTGTGTTTTGGTCTGTTTTTCTTAAACTATAAGCAATCGGTTAACTATATTTGGTGTATGGAATGATTGTAAGGTGTATATGTCAGTCTGGCAGTTATCATTTGACCTTGACTTCATTTTCATTGTTCATTGGTCAATGTTAAGTTTTCCTGTTAAAGTTTGTTTCTTAGATACTATATGCGATAGGTAGACTATATTTAAAGCATTGAATGATTGTAAGGTGTACATGTCTGTCTGGCAGGGTTCATCTGACCTTGACCTCATTTTCAGGGTTCATTGGTCAATATAAAGTTTTCATGGTTTGGTCTGTTTCTTGTTTACTATAAGCAATAGGTCAACTATGGTTGGTGTATGGAATTATTGTAAGGTGTACATGTATTTCTTGCATGTTTTATCAGACCTTGACCTCGTTTTCTTGGATCATGTTAAGTTTATGTAATACGTGTAGTAATAACTTTATATTTAGGACTATCAACATAAAATCGATGGTCAGTAAAGCAGGCGATACATTTCAGCATGTACACTCTTGTTCTCTTATATATTTGAATACTAATTAATTGTGACTTTTTGTCCTATTAATTTTGTGATTTTCTTTCCTTTTCTAACAAATCTACGGCCATGTAAAAACAAGAACAAATAATTCATAAATATGGACTTTATTCTTCTTTATATAACCACATATAACTTGTTTATTGTAACAATCCTACTGTTTTATTCTTCACAATATAAAATCAAAGCTAAATAATGAGTTTGCATGGGGTTTATTGTTTTCTATACAAACCTGTCTACTGTGACCATTTCAATTCACCTGATCAATAGCAGACATTTTCCTGTTTGTTTTCTATATAATCCTGTCTATTGTGACCATTTCAATTCAACTGACCAATAGCAGACATTCATAGTTAAAATTTTAGTAATTTAATGGAGGATAATGAATATGCATTTCGGCTAGAAATACTTTTTGGACATTTTCCTCACTTTTTTTATTTTGAATAGTATATTATGTGGTTCTAAATTCTAGGCAAAAACCTTGAATTAAGGTGGTACCCAACACCTTGACTAACATTAATTTGGCTCGTTTAATTTTCCTAAAATTTTGACAAAATGTTTACTTTGACCCTTTGACAAAAATATAAAAATTTCAAAAAATTTGAACCAACCACTTTATCAGAAAAATTTCTTTGGTTATATAGCAGTTTGACAAACACTAATTTTGATCATTGAGAAGCTTAATATTTCCTTAACAATACAACGTAATTAAAACATTTAGCTGATTTTTACAGAGTTATCTCCCTGTAGTGTTAGGTACCACCTTAAAAAAAAATAATTCATCTTCCAACTATTTTAATCTAAAAAATTAAGGCTGAAAATAAATGTTCAATATATCAGGAATACAGATCATGATTTGAAATTGAATTTGCAGACTTGTCATGTTCTATCAACCGGTGAATTAAAATATCAACAAAAGGGAGGTAATTTTGTCAAGTAAGGGAGATAACTAGAGTCCAGACTGGGGAATTTGTTAAAATAGAAAATTTCAACTATTTTTGAGGTAATTTTTTTTTCAAATCTCTTGCTTTAAATAAAGACAAAATAAACTCCAGTCTATACAAAAACAAAAGCATTTTATACCTGTACATAAAACAAGGGGCCATAAAAAGGGCAATGATATTGCTGTAACATTGAAATTTGCATATAGAATTAAAATATTTGCAATTTACAGATTAAGATATATAGAATAATCAATCATTTAAATAATTCTAACAACTTGCCTTCTTTGACCCCCTATTTCATCCAGATCTATGGTTTTGAACTTTACATTTAGCATGTACATAAAACAGTATAGCACTATACACATTATATATACTTAATGTCAAATGTATGTTATAAAATTTTGCAGACAAACGACAACCTTTATCGTAACCATGGTAACTATAGATACAATTTTACACTGAAATACAAGTTTTACCAAAACAAATATTGAGATTATGTACATTGTTTCAACAAAATTGCACCAAAAGCAAGCAAGCTTACAATTATAAAAATTCATACAAAAATATTAAACAGGCAATGAGTAGATTTTCATTTCTAACTAAAGTAAGAATTAGAAAGTTAACTACAGAATTTAATTACTTCCACTTTTTAGGGAAAAAAACTAACTTAGAAATTTAAAATCCTTTAAAAGGCCTGAATATAACAAAAGATGCATTAGAAATTTTAAATAAAGATCTCATATTTGATCAGTTTATAATTCATTTAGTTTTAAAATTGATGAACCTCATGCTTTAAATCATCCTTATTTCTTTCTTTCTTTATTTCATTTATCTCAACAAGGAACTGAAAAAAAGATAAACTCTAGATAAACTCTTTTCCTTTTTTGAGATCTATATATTTTTTTCTGTGTCAAAAAATGATGATCGTTCAAAACATGACTCAGACATCTCAACAAAACACATCAAATACAACTATTTTTATCCTACTTAACTAAAGGCAAGATTTGAGAGACGACTGACATTTAAATGCGTATAAAACCCGTAAATGGTATATTAAAGCAAAGAGGCGATACGAGATACATGGCATTAAGAGGATAAAAATAAAATATGTTGGAAATATCTAAAAATTTGGTATCACATTTAACTAAACATGTAGATCTATAAGTGTACATACACTTAAATGTTCATCAACAACAAAAACATTTTGAACTTTTGAACCTTCCACTCGGCACAAATACTACATAACGAAAGCGGGAAAGGGTCAAAACTTTTAGCGAAAACAGAGCTGAATAAACTCAAATCAATATGAGGAATTAATTGGTTCCTCTCGAAAAAATAGTCTCAATCATACAACAGAAGTCATATGAAGCTGTAAACTGCAAGCAAATGTTCTAAGGGGCTTTCCCTTTGTTGCATATATCTCTGTGCTAAAGGTCAGCTTTATAAATACTAAACACTGCACTAAAACAAAGTCTATACAAATTCAGCTATATCAAATGAACTTTTTCATAAATATAGAATTTCTTATACACATATATAATAATGAATAATTAAAACAAATGAACATCTACATCCATACATGTAATAATTATGTATAATAAATATATTTAAATTTTGCATATTCATATTTTTTTGCCAATTAAAAAAACAAAAAGATAAAAAATTCATTGCCATTCAATTTATCTAAAAAGGCACATACTAATTTTTACCTCAATTTGTAAACATCAATAGAAAAGAAGGAACCTGGTCTATAAATTCATGACACAAAATTCAGGGACCTTGATCTTTTATGTTTAGGGTTCATGGGATTGAACCCTTTTGTTAACCTTTAACCTTTTGTATCCCTTCCAATCCCCCCTCAAATTATTTTCTTTATAAATTTTTATTAAAACTTGATAGGTTCACATGAATTAACTAATTTCTACAAAATGACATCAATCACACTTGTTTATACACAAACATAACATGATATATGTAAACAATAAAAAATAAACAAACATTTATATATCATTAACAACATAAAGCTCATGTGAGTTGTAAATATATACTAAAGCATAAAAAATTCCATTTTCAATATGGCCGCTTGCAGCAATGAAAGTCAAGGCCATTCAACTCAAACTTGGTGTAACAATATGGACTTGATGTAGTTAATTACCCTCGATATTCTCATCAGATAACACAACTAATCTCGTTAATTCTTAAGTTTGATCTTTTAAACAAAGTCATCTGGTTCGTCGTCTGTGACATAGTTCTGTATTTTACCAACATGAGAGTTGAAATAAATGAAAACATTTATAAAAACAAACAATTTATATACTTCGCTTTTCCAATATTTCTTACAAATATTTTTAGCTGGATAATGCCAATATATGAAAAACAATAATTATCACATTTCGCTCATTTCTTGCTGCTTTGACCAATCATAATTTTTGTAACAAAGTTGACTATAGCTGAAGCTGGTTGTTCAGGGTCAAGCTCAGCAAACAGATGACAAGCATTGTCTGAGGCACCGCTATGTTTCCTAGCAACAAATCCAAATACCCTGCTTTCTAGTTGAACACCTGCAATGTCTGCATCTCTCTTCCATCTAAAGAATAGAAATAAATTTAGTAAAATTAAATACAAGAAGCATTTAAAATATTAAATAAAAAGATTTGGTAAGATTGCTAATGAGACAACTATCAACTACAACTAGAGTCCAAATGACATGGATGTAAGCAGCTAGAGGTCATCATACAGCCTTCAACAATGAGCAAAAGTCTACCGTAGAGTAAGCTATAAAAGGCACCAAAATATAATATTTTTTGAAAATGAAATGGAAAAGCAGGCAAACCTCAGCAACAATATACAATAAGGGGACAAAACTTTAATCTATAGTTATATTTATATCCTTCAGCATTTCCCACTAAAATGGCTAGGCTAGTACAGCCCATGAATGGTGTTAAATTCCAAATAAAACATGGTGTATACTGTAATTCAGAATGGTGTATAGTGTAATCAGGAATGGTGTAAGTTGCATGAGTAATAGTGTATGGTACATAAGGAACGTTGTATGTTTTTTTAAATTTTATTTCATCTTATAAAAGATATATTGAAATTTGCAATTCCATCAAATATGTTACAATGTGAGTAATTTTGAACGGTGAGTCCTGTATGATTTATAAGGAAAAGGGGAATAGTGTATGATTAACTCATGGTTTAAATGGAAACTTTACACCATCCAAGGACAGTTATCTCCCTTTAACTTACTTCCTTCCTTCTGGATCCATTCCACAGTATGTTACAGCTGACACAGGGTAATGTCTTCTAAAGAATAATCTGTAACATAAAACATCATGTTTAAAGCAATTCTCTAAAATGTCTTTCTATCAAATCTAAATTACTATGAACATTAAAATTCATTGTTGGGGAGAAAATTTCTATTTTTGAGGGTGCATAATTCTGGGGTTTTATGACGTTCTAAAAACATAAAATTCATATTAGATTGAGTATCCAAATTCAAGTTTTTTTTTTATACCCACAAAATCCACACTTGTTTGAAAAGCCAATAATAATTACTCCACAGTAGATTAAAAACATTTCATATAAACATTTGCAGTTTTTAAAACCATTTACTGTAAATTCAGGAATTATTGCATGCATTCATTATTGTGATTTTTGAAAAATGTACAAAAAATGTGGGACTAATTATTGTGATTTCAGGAAAATCAGCATACTGATGTATGTATCAGATATCTGAATGTGAGTTCTTATTATTGCGATACTCGCATAGTCACATCATTCGCAATGATAAAAACCTTGCAATAATTTCTGAATTAACAGTACTATAATTTGAGACTAACACTTCTACAGGTGATTTTTATGGTAAGTCATTTTTTATAGACCATGTTCATTGACTGCTTTCTTAACCAATATACACAAAATGGCAACTCAAATTCATAATACACATACTGTACATGTAAACATTATTTACATTCAATGGTTGTTGAAAAATGAGATTTTTAAAGAGTGATGAGGTTTAAAAAAAAAATCAGTTTATTGATGTGTAAACTGGACTAATTCCAATTACAAAAATTAAAGTCTGTAAATTTAGGTAACTTACTTTCGTTGGTTGTCTGTTAATGTTATACCCTGGTTAGAAACTTTAAAATGGACCACCGTTGATGTTGGTGGTGGGCCCATTTCAGAGGTCAATTTCAATGCCCTGGCAACAGCTTGTGGGCCTGTCAATGACTCTGTGTCTATTGAGTTAATATACAATACATTGCAAGCTGAAAGTACAAGAAAAAATTGTTTGGTAAGAAATTATACAAGTTTTTCATAAAATATTTAAACATAAAAGTTATTTGGTGTATATGTCAATGTGACAGAGCCTGACAACAAACATTGATCGAACATTACCACCTACATGTATACTTGACTTACTTTGAAGTCAGGCAATATTCAATTGCAAAATAAAGACAAACAAGGTGAAGATCACCGGTGTAGACTTGGAATTTTCTATCTAGCAGAAAGAATAACTTCAATGCAATTTGTTTGTTGTTATGATTTTGTTTGGATTTTATACCTTTTTTAGGGGGTAAAATCCTTAATTTACCTGCCAGAATAATAATAGAAATAATATTTGCTCCTAACTTATTGCCTGAAAATTCTTATTTGCTACAGTAAAATCAATGATTGAGGTTGGTAAGTATAAGATACAGTACAGTTGATTAATTTCTTCAATATATATCAGAATTACAGTGATGCTGGAAACAGCATGCTCAAATTGTGCTTTAAAAAAATATGTCCCAGGTGAGACAAAAACAAGAACGTACCTGCTCCCTGTGCCAGAAGAGCTGCTGCAGATGATGGCAGTTCTGATGTATGTGATACGTCCATGCTGCTCTCCATTGCTTGATCTGTAAGGAATAATAGGCTGATGAAGTATTTCTGACTAACAAATATACCAGACATAAATAAGTCTTATTTTCTTTTATCTTTTCTGTTTAACAATTCAATAATGTAATCAAAATGTTTCTTTACAGTTGTAACCTTTAACCTTACAGCACAAAATACCATGGTTTCTGTAGTTGTTCTTTTTCTTATTTAAAAAAAAAAAAAATTTTGAGCATAGTTTCTGATATGAGTGTGTTTGTTATCATTTGAAGTAATACAGTATACACAAGTTGCTTTGTACCTTACGCTGTATGAATAACGTTCACATTGTACGAGTTTTTGTCCCATTGTATAAGATATTGTCAGACTATAACTCTCTATCATACTGTTTGTTAAACCCTCTAATTAGTTTGAACAAGATCTACTTTGAGCTATTGCTCACTAATGATGGTCCAGATATACGGTAGGTATTCAGAAAGTTGACGAGACATAGATGTAAATAGGCATCATAGGGCATGTTCACTTGAAACTTGATACAAAATTTCTGAAAGCTCTGATTTGTTATGTTCCTGCGAAAAATGAATTCCAAATTTCATGCGAAAAACTTACAAAGGACAGATACAGAGATAGAGGTGAAGTAGTAAATCTCTCCCTCCTTCCAATATCTTGCCTGTTTAGAAATGCATACGTGTCTCCCTTTTCAAAGTCTGCAGATGTTCTTATATTTTTCAATCATATTTTTGTTATCAAAACTGTTCAAATCACTTATATATATGTACTACTTTCTATGTTGTGATGTTACACTATTGTTTCAGATAAGGGTGAAGGTTTGGTACCATTAAAACATTTAAACCCGCTGCATTTGTTTGCACCTGTCCTAAGTCAGGAATCTGATGTTCAGTAGTTGTCATTTGTTGATGTGGTTCATAGGTGTTTCTGGTTTCTCGATTTTTATATAGATTAGACCGTTGGTTTTCCCGTTTGAATGGTTTTAATTACACCAGTAATTTTTGGGGCCCTTTATAGCTTGCTGTTCGGTGTGAGCCGAGGCTCTGTGTTGAAGACCGTACTTTGACCTATAATGGTTTACTTTTATAAATTTTGACTTGGATGGAGAGTTGTTTCATTGGCACTCATACCACATCTTCTTATATCTATCTACTGTATGCATTTCAGGATGCAGAAAAACATGTTTAAAATTCTATAGCTAAAATACAGAATGCAAGAGGAATATATATTCAAGTCTGGGACAATATAAAAGTATTGAAGGGGAAGTAACTCAGAAGAAACATTTCATTTTACTTCCAAGGAAATAGATATTTTAAATTTTCATGCTTATCCTTAAAGAACTAAAATGTTCCCTAACCGTGCATAAAAGAAAATGTTGTAAAAGAAGTTCCTGAGGAAGTTGATTTCTATTAAGAGAGACATGCTTATTTCCTTGACTTGTATTTGTTCTACTAAATGTAAGAGTTTGAATGTTTGATAGAATGTATATGCCATGCTTATCATTAGAAAGAGATTGTATTGTATTTTTCACCTTCATAAACTGGAACACAGGGGACAAATCTTGGTAAAACTGTTGATCAAAATGTGCATAGTTAAAATCATTGTCTAATTAAATTTACATCGATCAAACTTTAATTTTGGTGGATTCTCAAGGATTCAGAAATATTTTTTTCCCTGATTTCTTAATGACTTCGAACACCAGTATTCCATTTACCTAATATTATCAACAACACCTGGTATATTCATCTGTTTTATTATTTTATTGAATTACCAAAACTTTGGCTGGATATATGATTATCTAACGTAAAAACATACTATTTGTTGAAAAACATTTTTTGTGTCTCTCTTCTATTTAAGTTTAACCCACATCGCTATCATTTTTTGTTATCAAAATAGCAAGACAACTGCATTTAGCGTTCATAGTTTATTTCTCTGTTCAGGATTACCTCCCTTTTCCTTGATTAACATTCATATGAATTTGTGTTGGTCAATTTTACATGAAGACCCTACAGGCATGTAAGTGTGTTGATCACAGCTTCAAAGATAAAATTCATTATGATTTACTTTTCTTCCTTTCTGTTGTAAGTTATCTCCCCTATTTGACCTTTTGTACAATTAAGGATGTTCGCTCCTCTATTTCAAAATAACAAGGTTTTTAAAAGACTGTTATAGATTGATAGAATATGAATAAGGGAAATTAAAAATTAGAAAAAAATGATAGGTCTGTGTTCTAGTTTTTGAGATATAATCAGTAGAAAATTTGGCGGGAAATAGTTCTCTCTAGATTTTTCATACATTTAACACTGACACCTATTTCCTTTCAAAAACTTTGAAAAAATAACAAGGATTTTATAAAATTTTCAAAAATGACTTTTAAAACTATATGCAATAAAATTATGAAAAGAAAAGTATGGGTCAGTGGGCAAAATTTTTATTGGCGCTACATGGATAAAACTAGAGGATTCCGAATATCTGACAAAAAGTCAAAAACATGAGTAGCGAACATCCTTAATGATTGAAGTCTGACTCTATCATGTATGATTTTGAATATACTTACCAACTTCTGGTAGTACCAGTTTACATGGCAGAGCCAATGGAGTTATAGAGTGTTGGTAAACAAGGGATGCTAAGCTACCTGTAAAAACAATCAAATATCAAAATGAGAAAAGTGTCTGCAGTATATTTATAGGTATCGGTAATACATGTATGCAACACAGAAATACACATTAAATAATTTTTTCACTTGACTAAAAAAAGAAAAAGTTTGTCTCTTTGAAGTGTTTTGCTCATAATTTCAATGACCAAAAATTGACATTCAAATGTTCATACCCTGTCTACTTACAGCTTCCTTAATCAAATATAGTGTAGTCACAAAGATATTTTTGATTTCTTCACATTCAGACTTTTTTGCTATCAATGTAAGCCCAAAATAATTTTTAATGAAGTATTTTTCCAAAGCTTTTCTTTCTTTTCATAAAATATTAAACGAAAGACTTTGTTATTCTTTTTAGATTTTATAATACATACATGTAATTACAGAATGATAAAAAAGTCAACACATAAAACTTACCAAACACAGGTTCATTGCTACAACCTCGTAACCGAACACCTTTAGGAGTCGGTTCTATGAGGAAGTGACGAACTAAATCAGCGGCTGGATCACCTGACGATTTTGTCTGGACATTGGCAGGTATTGTAGCTACCTTTAAGGCAAGACCAAAGGCTCCTGGGAAAGAGTTACTATCCCTGACAACAAATGTACCAGGGGATTTGTCTTTTAGCATTTGAATGGCTGAAATAAAAAATAGTAATTATTAGATATTCAATTATCCAATTCCCTTTTGTCTTACACACTTGAATGTTCGTCTAACAGTAATGATTTTGAAAACAAGGAATTATTTGAATCTGGAATAATTTTGAATTCTGGAGAATTGATAAGAAATGTATGATAAAAACTAACACCAACTAAATAAGGTTAGCCATGCTAGCATGGCTAAGATTAATTTCACTTTCACTGATATTTCAGTATGAATTAACTAACCCCCCATAGCCATGCACACAAGGCTAACCCTATTTAGTTTGGTAGTTTTCATCATACATTTCTTGTGAATTTTCCAGAATTCAAAATTATTCCAGATTCAAATAATTGCTTGTTTGAAGGTATTTTTAATATTAGTACATGTTTTAATATTAAGTACATGTTTTAATATTAAGTACATGTTTTAATATTAAGTACATGTTTTAATATTAGTACATGTTTTAATATTAGTACATGTTTTAATATTAAGTACATGTTTTAATATTAAGTACATGTTTTAATATTAAGTACATGTTTTAATATTAGTACATGTTTTAATATTAGTACATGTTTTAATATTAGTACATGTTTTAATATTAAGTACATGTTTTAATATTAAGTACATGTTTTAATATTAAGTACATGTTTTAATATTAAGTACATGTTTTAATATTAGTACATGTTTTAATATTAGTACATGTTTTAATATTAGTACATGTTTTAATATTAAGTACATGTTTTAACAATAGTTTGCACAGCTATTGTTTTACCTTAACTGGAACACACAAAAGCTGACAGAAATGTTTTAAATATACTTCTATAAATCATCAACATCTCACTAGAACTGACCATGATATATTGGTCACTGATTCAGACTTTCAACGTGACTTAACTTACAGATACTAAACTTTCAATGACCCATGTAACATTTTATATAAATTGCTGATCTCTGTCTGAGTATTGAAAGTATCTTAAAGAAGATAAAGTCTGATAGTCAATGGGACAACTCTATAATAAAGTAGAAAGCACTAATAACAATGTGAATATCCACAAAACCTTTGCACTAAGTCCCATTATGTAAGGTAAGCTGGGAAATGTGAAATGTCAAAAGGAAAAACTAATAGGCTAATTGGATATTTAGTCTTTATAGATCTCAGTAATACAAAATTTTCTGAGTCAAAAACTTATTAACATATCAAATAGAATTTTCATGTTATGCAGTCAAAAGGCAATGAGATGAAAATGTCTTTTTGAAGTGTAACCAAAACCTCATTATCAATTTCAGCGTGTTGTCTTTAGTATATAGTAACAAGCATTGAGGATAAGTACTGACAAGTACTTCAGTAAAGTACCTAGTGAGAACTTTCATAATAATATTGCTTTGCACTTTTGTGATTTCAGAGGAATTATATTGGGTATGTATCTAAATTTTGATGTTAGGGGCAGTAACTCTAGAAGATTGTAATAGTTACCTTCTTCCCTGGTTATATTAGGAATGTACCAATATTTTGATGTTAGGGGCGGTAACTCTAGAAGATTGTAATAGTTACCTTCTTCCCTGGTTACATTTGGCATGTACCAATATTTTGATGTTAGGGGAGGTAACTCTAGAAGATTGTAAAAGCTACCTTCTTCCCTGGTTATATTTGGCATGTACCAATATTTTGATGTTAGGGGAGGTAACTCTAGAAAATTGTAATAGTTACCTTCTTCCCTGGTTATATTTGGCATGTACCAATATTTTGACGTGTTCTTTACAAACTTTGGAGTAGCGTGTACTGCATCTGCATTATCTGAAATAAAGTACAAAGTAAATACACAATAAACACATAAGTAAAACAAAATAATGACCATAACATCTTTATTAATTCAAAAAAAAAAAGTATAAAATCCCTTGCATGTGAGCAGGATCTGCTAACCCATCTAGAGCACCTGAGATCACCCTCGTTTTTTTATGTGGGTTTAATGTTACTTAGTTTTTAGTTTTTCTGTGATGTCTTTTGTATATTGTTGTTTGTCTTTTGTTTTGTTTTTCTCCATTTTTCCCATGGCATTGTCAGTTTGTCTTCCACTTTTGAGTTTGAATGTCCCGTTGACAGTTCACCCCCTTCTGGTGTCAGTTTGCAAGTATGCTTTAAAATTTCCGTTCATCAAAATACAATGGGCATTTTCACAAAAACAAGAAAGTTATGATTTTGCTAGCTAATTGTTAGTAATTTTTAGAACATAGCATTTTAATATGAAATTTTGTGACTTCTTTGTGATAAAATGATAGCTTTGAATACAGCCAAAATTTTCTTTTATTTTTCAAACTCATCAAAACCTTACCTGCCAGTGAGGTTAGACTTCCTCTTCTTGACAAACCAAAGTAAACACTAGGTGAACTTTGACCTGTCATGGAGTGGGGCCCTGGACTAAGAGCGCCCCCTGAACTGGAAGACATGTTGTGTGCTACATGTAGTTGCTGACGTAATTGATTCAAAGTCTCAGGCGAGTGTGGACTGAAAGAAAAAAAAAGGAATAAATTTTACAATATATCTTTAATATAGCATATTACTATGGCTTCTATGGCTGGCAAATTCACAAAATCAAATATCCATGAAAATAAAATCTTTCCTCAATCCACGAAAATAAATAAATCCACACCAGTAATTGACGCCAAGCCTGATATCAGAATAGATCAAAATATTTTTTATCGAATCCCCACTCTCATTATCACGTCTCCATGTTCAGTAAACTTGTAAATCTGTGTCAAAACCCAATCAAAGTATAAATTGTAAAAAGATCACATCATCACAAACACATGTATCAAATTAAAGTGGTAATCACTTCATGGTAAACTATCTTTACCAAAAACTTTAATCTGATACAGGATAGATGGATGCAAAACTTTAATCTGATACAGGATAAATGGATGCAAAACTTTAATCTGATACAGGATAAATGGATGCAAAACTTTAATCTGATACAGGATAGATGGATGCAAAACTTTAATCTGATACAGGATAGATGGATGCAAAACTTTAATCTGATACAGGATAGATGGATGCAAAACTTTAATCTGATACAGGATAGATGGATGCAAAACTTTAATCTGATACAGGATAGATGGATGCAAAACTTTAATCTGATACAGGATAGATGGATGCAAAACTTTAATCTGATACAGGATAAATGGATGCAAAACTTTAATCTGATACAGGATAAATGGATGCAAAACTTTAATCTGATACAGGATAAATGGATGCAAAACTTTAATCTGATACAGGATAAATGGATGCAAAACTTTAATCTGATACAGGATAGATGGATGCAAAACTTTAATCTGATACAGGATAAATGGATGCAAAACTTTAATCTGATACAGGATAGATGGATGCAAAACTTTAATCTGATACAGGATAAATGGATGCAAAACTTTAATCTGATACAGGATAAATGGATGCAAAACTTTAATCTGATACAGGATGGATGGATGCAAAACTTTAATCTGATACAGGATAGATGGATGCAAAACTTTAATCTGATACAGGATAGATGGATGCAAAACTTTAATCTGATACAGGATAGATGGATGCAAAACTTTAATCTGATACAGGATAGATGGATGCAAAACTTTAATCTGATACAGGATAAATGGATGCAAAACTTTAATCTGATACAGGATAGATGGATGCAAAACTTTAATCTGATACAGGATAAATGGATGCAAAACTTTAATCTGATACAGGATAAATGGATGCAAAACTTTAATCTGATACAGGATAGATGGATGCAAAACTTTAATCTGATACAGGATAAATGGATGCAAAACTTTAATCTGTTACAGGATAAATGGATGCAAAACTTTAATCTGATACAGGATAGATGGATGAACAGACTGGAAAACATAGTGCCTCCTTCTATCATAGGTGGGCCATCAACAAACCCACAAAGACATATAGAGACAGGCATGGATCCAGCCACTTTTAAAAGGGGGGGTTCCAACACTTGTGATTCATATAAAAGTGAGAGGGTTCCATTACACAAGCATTAGTTGTCAAACAAAAGGGGGATTTCAACCCCCAGAACATCCCCCCCCCCCTGGATCCACCATTGACAGTTACACATTCAGTCTACAACAATTGCCCTTTACATATCATAGTACTAAATTTTCCACAGTCTTAATAAGTATAGTGATTAATATTTTTAGCTTACCTACTTCAATCCTACCTTCTAACTTCCAAAATATTTTCACAATTCTTTTTAGCAATAAACTCTCTCAATATCATATACAATTTCAAATGTATCATTTCCTAAGAAATTTGATTTGAAAACCATGCTCTGAAAAATTTCTCACCTTGTAAAAGTTGGCAACTAAACCTAAATTGCCAATTTGAATTCCAATAGAGTGAAATACTATTTCAAATGAGATTTTTACTGTTAAAATATTCAATTTCTTTTTTATTTTTACTATTGGGAAAGAATTAGTTGTTTAAGTTTTTGTTATAAGCACCTGAGAAAACCTACTCAAGTATGAATGTGCATTTTATAAGATTAAATCCTTGAATAGTTTTACCATATTGAACTTGAAGATGATTATTTCTGAGGTAAGCGGAAATCTTGAAGTACATTTACAACATCTCTTTTTAAATGCAATCTAGTTAGGCCACACCAATGTAATTCTATGTGGTTATTTCTCTTCTAAATTTTCTTATTAAAGTTTCTATCACTTGTACTCAGATCTTAGGTTGTAAACTTATTTTAATGAGATTAAATTAAATAATGACACCTGCTATCTTATCAAATGAGAGCCATGAACTTTCTCTGCATTCAAGACAAAAGTGTCTCCAAATGTTTTTATCTTTTTGAACATATAGCAAATGTTCTCCTCTAAAATAGCCAAGGCACTGGCTCAAATTTAGCAAAAATTTATCAAAGATTCCAGACTTATAGTTTATTGACTCATTGGTGTCGCTCAAATCAAAGTAGTTGGATGGACAAATGAAAAACAAAGTTGAAGAGCATGCAGAGAACAAAACATTCTAAAATAAGGCCATCTATGCCTGGCTTAGAAAAACCTATGTGTTTTGAGTAAATCAAAATTTTTCAGCAGGATATTTACAGAAAATGAACTTTAAATATTAATAGTGTTTTTAACAATGTTTAGCAAGCACTTCAATGTTATTTTTCAACCAAGTCTAAATCACTGTCTCAATCAACATTTGTGAATGTTCACTATAGAAAATACTTGCATTCTTAACAAATGGAACCGGAAAATGTAATGCACATGCAAACAGTCTTCAGGATAAATTTTTTAATCTCCAGGCCAGAAGCTAAATTTATGAAAATTTTAGTTAGATTCCATTGGCCTGTAACAATGATTTTTACAGGCCCAACAGCATGTTTACAAGCCTGGGCTGATGGGCCTGTGGTTAAGCTGAACACTGCAAATCTGTACTAAATAATTATAGTTCACAGAAAGAAACCAGACTTATAGATACAAATTATTGCTTTTGATATCTTTGCAATTTTTGCTAATTAATTATAATAATACTTTATAGCCCCTGCATTGTTACACAATCTACCATCTGGTATACATTTCAAATATACAAAAATAAAACATAATAATAATGTAAACAAAATCAAAGGAAAAAAATCCCCAAAATATAGATACAATATTTAATAAAGAGTGCTACTTGGTGAAATGCAAGATAACTTTTCAGAAGCACTTTTAATAGGCAATTTATTGTCTAAAAATATATAAATTATTAAAGGTTTAAAAGATATTTGTCATTATCTAATAACAAAAGATTACTTAGGTGCAAGGAATCCTCTCTTTGTAATAAAATAGACACAATATGAGCAGCTAAATGCATATTTCAGATATAAATTGTGATAAGTAACTTTTTTAATTGGAGAGTACATTCTTAATTAAAACATGCTTCCCATTATCTTGCTTGCCAAAAATGCCAACTGTTTAGCCAGAATTAATTGGGTGCTTTTTTCTAACATTAGTTAATTGGGTAATTGCATAACTTTAAAGTCAGAACTTATGTTCAGTATCTTAATTAAAGGTTCCTGTCTTCAAAGGGCAATAACTCTTGTGATTTTCACGTGTCTATTAAAATCTTTTTGAATTTAAAATTTCAAAAGGCTGACAAAGTACATGGAACCTCATAGTTCTTTAGATATTTCTTAATTTTTAGACAGAAGGAAGGAACGCAGATGAGGGGTATATCTTAATACCAATAATAACTTAACAACTCAAAAAATCCTAATAATTAGTGCCAGGGACACCATGCCCCGCTCGCACTATGACATCTCCATGTTTAGTGAACCGTTAAATCTAGGTCAAAACCTTAATCAAGTATAAATTATAAAGTTTACGTGTGCACTAAGTTACAAGTTGATGCTACCACAACTTTATGTTTTACTTTCATCGCCAAAAAACTTTAACCTGATACTGTATAGTTGGACGCAGTCAGACCAGAAATCCTTGTGACCCCTACTATTGTAGGTGGGGCATAAAAGAAACAATCAACCCATACAGTCTTCACCTATAGAAAATTGTCTATACCATATAATAGTTCTAAATCTCCAGCAGCCTTAGCACTTGTGAATAAATTTCACAGAGATCTCCCATAATAACACCAAATTCTTCAAAGGACAAAAATCTCTCAAATGTAACTAATGACAACCACTGGTGAGTTTCCTGAAATGTTATCAGTCACATCATAATGTTGGAATCAATCCTATCAAAAGTACTACAAACATTAATCAGATTTGTTTTTAGTAAAGTGTATTGTTATAAATTAGGCTATTATTTTTCTAGTTTGAATTGTTTCACATTTATCATGTCAAGGACTTTTATAGTAGACTCATAATAGGGTATGGGTTTTACTCATTGTTGATGGCTGTACAGTGAACTATAATTGCTTAAATCTTTGTCATTTGAACTCTGGTGGATTACAGTATTGTCACTTTGGCAATCATACCACATCTCCTTATTCTAAACTTTAAATATAGCAATATATATGAAATTTTTTGTATCAAAATATTAATATATCAAAGTTAAGATTGACTACACCCTTTACCATATCCCAGCAATAAATTTCAAATGAATTATACCTTCTTCCACACTTCTGCCAAGAAGTCTGTATCAATTAAACTCTCTCCTACACACCAGCAAATATGTCATGACCATAATAAACCCTCTCCCACTAACCTTGAAATAATATCTTACCCTCTCGGATCTGTTACTTAATAATCCAATCAATATTAAATTATGTCATTTTTTATCTGCTAATGAGAACCATGACACTTAGTAACATGAATACTTCAGGTTTGTTTTTGGAAAACACTGAAGTCATTAAAAACCAGCAACTCAACAAGATCACCAATCACCAAGAAAACTCCAACAATTTCACAGTAGTCAAATTCCCATAAACATGCCGGATTAATTGAGAAACTTTTATCAAAATATTTCACTGTAAATTTTTTAACATTTTTTCTCAAGCTA